ATCGAACGCCTCCGGTAGCCTCAGCTTCACTGCTTCGAGGTTAACTGTAGCTGCTGCCGTTGTCGCAGGTAGAATTGTCGGTGTCGCCGCTGCTGCTGCTGCTGTCGCTGCTGCATTCGCTGCTGCTGTGGCGGTTGCCGACTGGTTCGCAAGGAGTTTCTCGAGTCGTGGGAGCTCCGCACATATCTGCTTATGCTCGGCACGTAACTCCGCGATTTTCTGTACTGAAATATCTCTTTTTCCCTCCATTTGGCGATTTACAGAAAGAAGCGCGACGAAAATAATTGAATTTTGGGTGCTGGTCGACTTACTGCGAGTCGAGTTGACTGTAGAATCGACGAGCACAAATTCTGTAAGTCGCGTAAATCTTCCTTAGTCGAAATTCGCGTTCGATCTCGGCCGTTGAGAAGAAACTCGATCCGACGCTCCAAATTCCAACTTTTTGGGGCGAAATTCTCTGGGCCGTTGAGATGAAACTCGATCGAACGGTCGAAACTCCAACCTTTCCACCAGAAAATCTGAGGGGTGTTCGAAAACCGAATCGAGGGGGACTTAGAAAAATTGCGCGGAACTGGTTTTACATACCCGTATCGGCGCCTTCGTCGTCGCCCCCGCGGTTTTTAAAGGCCGGAACTACGCGGTTGAAGACCTCGCGTGTAAACCCGCTCTGATTACCAAGTGTGAGGATCTGGTTCAGGAAAGATGATTCTATTGAATGATCCGCCTGGGTACAAGGCGAGGCTATATATAGGCTCGACACAAAGGCAGTAACCCGGGTGTTACTAGAAGGTTCCGCGGGTCGCGAAGCGTCCCGAACGGGTCCTTCCCGAATTCGGTAGAAGGCAATTCGGTGGCAACCGAAAAGCCTAGAATTCGGTGCATTCAACCTAGTTCGGTGCCTACAACTATAATAACTATAGTAAAGGCAACGAATCTAGGAAATCAAGCAAAAGCATGCAAGATAAAATAAAGCTAAGCTAGTAATAACATAATAAAGTCCAGGCAAGCTAGCAAAGCGAGCATTAGCCGTCGTACTCTCACAGCTGGAGCAGACGATGTTTTGTATGAGCAAATGCTCAGTTGCTCTTCCGACGACATATTCCGCAAGAGGACCCCGCAAGCCATTAGAGACTCGTTGGAGTACCTTGTCCTGGCGTCGTCGGTGTCTTCAGCGGGCCCCGCGTAGCTCCCGTCGAAGTAATGAAAAATCTGAGCGTTTTACAGCAGGAGCTTCAGTTTGAAGCTCCAGATATAGAAGTCTCTGCCGTGAAAGTACACACTTGTCTTTATTTTTTATATGCTGAGAAACCTTGATTGCGCAGAGAGAATTGCCTCTTCACTGGGACGGGGAGTCTTGGGGGTTGAGCCATTGGTGTCGAGGGAGAAAGTGTGCTGGGCGGCGTTCTGGCCGTTTGAGACCGGTTGAGTAGGTTGCGAGGAGGTTCCCGCGTCGCTAGCCCGCAATGTCTGGAATCCTTGCTCCAAGTCGGTGAGTCGCTGAAGCAATTGTGCGAGGACGGCGGTACCAATCGTCGTCGTTTCCTCGCTTGTCGCAGCCGGGTTGGGTTGCGCTTCAGCCGTCAGATTCGTCTGACCACCAGATCCTCCGGCCATTCTCACACGCGAGCGTGTGCCGGACGCCACTTTCCGTTGTTGAAGATTTCGGAGTTGGCAATGCGAAGGATTCCCAAGTCGCTCTCTTACCATGTCGCGATCAGAAAAGGGATCGACCCTAGGATCACCTCGGGAAGGTTCGCTTGAGTAGTTGGTACTGGTAGGCCCACCTGTGAAGCTTGAGTAGCGAAAGTACGGTAGCAGGAGTTGCGAAAGGAGTAGGGTGTTGAACGACATCAGTACGAGAGAGAAATTTATCAAACCCTAGGTGGTTTCAGATTCCCATCAAAATCACATGTTTTATAAATTTTGATGGAAACTTCAATGATGTTTGGCGTAGTTGTTCATTTGATGCATCTCAATCATAAGGTCCAGAGAATCGAATCTTGCAATGACACTTTTAATTTGAAGGAAGAAACGAAAGGCAAACACATTTATGATTCTGCATTCCACATTTATCTTGAACGCTCCGCAATCCCAAGACGATTTCGTCGCCTCTTGTTTTATGAGTTGTCTGAAATTTCAGCCTAATTTTATTAGTGTAGGTTGAGCCTCAGACTTGTATCGGGGGTGCACTCTGAAACCGGTAATACAGGGGTTTTCGCCAGCCTGGCGGCGTGTAGCACTAACACCGTCAATCACGGGCGGGAAACCAAATTTTCCCGAGCGCGGCACCGCACAGTTGCGTTGGTATGCTGTAAACCGCTTCGATGCTATTATAACTAAGCTTTTACGAAACTGCATGATCATCTTAAAATTTGAAGGTAACTCTGACAGTTCAGACAAAAAAAGTTGTGCTTGTCTGAATTTTCAGACTAAAATTTTGAGGCACCTCTGACAGACAGAGTTCCAGGAGGGGTATACTCTGATCGATCAGAGTGCCTCGAAACGAATCTAGGGCCCTCTCAGAGGGGGTCTCGTTGAGTGAAGGGCAGAAGTCATCCAGGATGAGTGCAGATGGCACCATGGTCAGTGCAGCCAACCGTGTCATCCTAACGAGTGCACAACACTGAGTGGTCGTAACCATTTGGATTCTTGTCCCTGGTTTAAGGTTACAAGGGGAGGGGAAAAAAAAACATCAAAAAAACAAAACAAAAAACAAAAACAAAAAAGGCTCAAGAGGTGACAGTTGGTGTAAAATGGGAAGTCAAAAAGGGTATGCAATTGTGTGGGTGGAAAACAACCAATCACTCACAGTGAATACGATGCAGAAAGCCTCGGAGTGGTTTTCAGCGATCCTTTGTATACAAAGTCTCCGTTACAGTAATCGGTTTGGAAGTGTGTGAAATTGATGCACTTGGAGCATCGCCGATGTTGTCGACGCCATACAATGTCGTGAACTTCCCAACCAGCACAAGCGGGAACCGAGTGCAGCCATTGATCCCGGCGTGGAAGGTGTAGGGCCGAGAAGTGAAATCCTTGCCTGTTCGATTGAGGAAGATTGTGATGCTGGTGGAAGAAACGGTGGGAGCTTGACCTGGGAAGGGAAGGACAAAGAAAGGACTCTGTGCAATATTTGTCTCCACCACCATAATTCCCACGCTCATACACACCACCATACACTGATATGTGCAATGCCACATTCCCACAACTTAAAACAGCATGGACCAACTTGGCAGAGCGAGAAAGGTGAAGCAAAGAGTGCGCATAGAGGGAGAGAGGAGAGAGTGGGGAGTATGTGGGGAGAGAATGGGCTGAGTGAAAACGTTTCAGAATATCTCACCCTTAACACACGCCTCATGTGTTATTCCAGAGCCTTTAGGGCAAGAACAGTAGGGCGCCCGCACCGCTCTATCAAATGACAGCACGGTCTTGCAAGTGGCTCCAATGGGGCAGACGCCACAGGGAGAGGCTGAGGGGTGGGGATGGGTGCAGTGCGGGATGTGAGTACAATGCTAGTGGTGGTTTGGGTCTTGAGAGGGGCAGGGCCACAGGGTGAGGCTGAGGGGTTGGGATGGGTGTAGTGCGGGATGTAAGTAGAATGCTAGTGGGGGTTCGGGGCTCCAGAGGGTCAGACAGACGCCACAGGGTGTGGCTCAGGAGCGTAGCACACAAGGGAGAAGCAAGGGAGATGGAGAAGCAAGACAGAGAGGGAAAAGCAAGGCAGAGAGGGAGAAGAAAGGGAGAGAGGGAGAAGAAAGGGAGAGAGGGAGAAGAAAGGGAGAGAGGGAGAAGAAAGGGAGAGAGGGAGAAGAAAGGGAGAGAGGGAGAAGAAAGGGAGAGAGGGAGAAGCAAAGAAGAGTGGAAGATGCAGTGGAGAGAGAGAGAGAAGCAATAAAGTGGTGAAATGGAAATGCAGTATGCTGGCAGGATCGCTAGTCCTGAGAAGTGAGTGGAAAAGGAGGTAGGCCGGCAAAAAGAGAAACAACATGCACTGCCGCTCTCATTGGGTGGGAAAATGTGGTTGGAAAAAATGGCACGAACTGGATGTGGTGCCAAAAGGAGAATAAATGCCTGAGAAATGGGGTTGGTTGTGTGGTTGCGGGGTTGATAGAATGGATGCGTTGGGTTGAAAGTGCGAAACGTGATTCTCACTCACCCCACTGGTAGTAGCGCCATGCTCACTCACCCCACTGACAGAAATAGCATGTTCACTGCACTGTCCACCCCACTGGTTGGCATGGGGTTGATATACGAATGCATGAGTTGAGCTAAAAGGGGAAAGTTGGAAGGCCATACTCACCCCACTTGCAGGAGCGCTCTACGTTGGGACCCACAACACATTTGCCACCAGGCTCACAGCGCAACGCCGCACAGGCAGGATCTGCAGCGGAGGCGAAAAGGAACGGCATCGAACAAAGACATGGGAATGCGTATGGACTGCACAAGGGCTTCGGAATGACGTTGGCAGCGCATGCATTAAGGCAAGAGGCAAGAGGGCGTTGCCTAGGGCACCAGAGCAGTGGCAGCGTCACACCCGCCCTTTGGAATCACACGCTTTGATGTCACACTTTTAGGAATTACTCGGAATCGCATCTTTCGGAAACATACACTTCTAGAGGATGTCCGTTTGTAAGGGGTTGGGCAATGAACGCACGACTGGATTCCACTAGCGGTTTACCTTTCTGATGCGGGACATCGCAGAGGACAGACGACACTGACGTCCACTTGCGAAGCGTCTTCTCTGTGCTTGGGTACCTGAAGGGCAGCGAGGCAAGTGGAAGCACACAGTATCACAATGTGCTCAATGAAATGTTGATTATATTTCCCTTACACCAGTCCCCTCCTCCTCTCCTCCCCTCTCCTCCCCTCCCCCTCCTCCCCAGCCGCTCGTGTCCGCTCGTCGTGCCTCAAACACAACCACACCATTCATCACTCACATGGCATCGCTGATACACACCATCCCCCACTCACATGGCCTACCCCACTCACATGGCCTACCCCACTCACAGGATAGCAGAAGGGCTCGGGTTACTGATGCTATCCACCGCCTCGCCCTGGCAGCCGGTGGCCTCAAAGAACAAGACCCGCGAGCACTGCAGCCCGTCATCCACGCCGTCCGTACCGATGTTGCCCGCATACACGTTCCACGACACCACCACGCGACTCCTGCGCTTCACCCATGGGTCAATGCTAATGCAGCGCTGCATGCCGAAGCTCAGCCGCGCCATGTTCATCACCACCAATGGCATCATCACCGATGTCATCACCACTGATGTCATCACCACCGATGTCATCACCACCGATGTCATCACCACCGATGTCATCACGGGCACCTTGGAAACTCTACTGCCGCTGCTCGTGGTGCTGGTGCTGCCAGTGGTGCGGTGAACGGTGGTGGTGGTGCCGCCGTTGGATGTCTCAAGCGCAATCCTCGTATTGACCTTCTGGCTCACTGTTGCCACCACCGTGTCTTGTGCATCTTCATATGCGCCGTCCAGCGTGCTTCGCAGTGCCGTGCGCTGAGTCAAGCTTCGCATCCCAAAAATCACTTGGCCGATATCGGCTGGAAAGCGTGGGATACCCCCAGGTCACACTCGGGGGGTAACCCTGATGTTCCCACCCACTTTCCCGCAGGTTACCCCAGAGTGTTGGCGAACGATGCGAAGTGGTAATTCTCGCGATTGGGATTTTGGGTGATGGAAGCGGACCAATCAGGGGAGAGCTCTAGTTCGTTGTAAACCAGGGGATACCCCGACAGCTTCGGATCGAGCCTGCTGACTTGGTTTGTTCACACTCTTTCGGCTACCACAGCTGACCCCAGGCGGTGTACTCGTTTTGATAACAGCAGCTATGTTCAACAATGATTTAGAAGTACCGAGATTCTCTATATCGAGGTCATACTGATGTGTTTAGGCAGCAGCCAGGATTCCGTGCACCAATCACATTTGTCCTAGTCACTTCAGCAAGAGAGTCGCTCATTTGGATGTACACAAACCCATCTCGCCCAATTCCCTCACTATTTCGTGTTGCCAAGCTGATGAGTTAACACTTCTCTTAACTCGCCGCCATGTCCGCATTTTCCGCTGCCTGATTTTCCTAGACATTGCTGGAGGTTATGCTTGAACGATAAGTAGCTTGGTAACGGGTTACTCTTTCCGTTATTAATCAGCCTCAAGACCCTGGCGATTGGAGGCGTGCATGTCAATGATTTTTTTATTCGTCTGTTGCTAATTGGTTTCTCGCGTCATTTGTGTTTCTTTGGCGCGCAGCAAGCGGCGGCGGATTGGCGCGCAGCAGCTTGGCGGAATCGCGCTCAGCAGCTGCGGCGGAATCGCGCTCAGCAGCTGCGGCGGAATCGCTCTCAGCAGCTGCGGCGGAATCGCGCTCAGCAGCTGCGGCGGAATTGCTCTCAGCAGCTGCGGCGGAATCGCGCTCAGCAGCTACGGCGAAATCGCTCTCAGCAGCTGCGGCGGAATCGCGCGGATAAGCTGCGGCGGACTCGTGCGGAGCAGCTGCGGTGGAATGACACGCAGTAGCTAACCCTGCCAGGTGCATTATCCGCTTTGAATGTTCCTTTTTGTTTTCTTTCGCTGGCTCACCCGATCCGTTTGTTCTTCTTCCTATTTCGAATGGCGGCTACCTGCATTAGGTGCGCTCATGTGGCGGCCACCCGCATTTCAGGTGTACAGGCGGCTCCATGCTAACCAAAAAATTCTCCACATCCTTTTCCTAGCCTTTCTGCTTCTCCTGCTCTCCTTACCCCTCTCACACCATCCATACCAACCAACCAAACCCCCTCCCCCAATCATTTCTGCCACTTGGTCAGCCCCTCTCTAGTGTTTTTTGTGATCTGTTTTTTTTTTTGCAGGTGCAGAGGATAGTGAAATATGATGAATTGTTTCAGTGCCATTTTGTTCATGTACGATTCCCATTTTCAATTAATCAGAGCTCTAGTAATTTGCTTGTGCAAACATTATCATTGATAATGTAGTAAGTGTAGATTAACATAGCAACCCCCAAACAAAGTTTGTCGCTAATTAATAATTGTCATTAATAATTATGGCTATATCAAAATTAGTTTTTTCTACGCCTAGTATATAGCTTCAAAATAGATTAGTGTGCTGTAAACTAGATATTGGCTTAAAGCGATAACATTTACAGGGCAGATGCGGCTCGCGTTCGAGTTGGGTTCGCGAGAAGCGGGAACGCCCGCGATTGGGCCCCAACTTTTCGGGGGGTGACTCGTGGGTAACATTTGGGTCACCGCTCGGGGTCACCTCAGTGTGACAACGAACTGAACATCGGGATGCGGTAACTCTGGGGTATCACTGTTGGCGACACTGGGGTATCAATTCTCGGGGTAACCCTGATGTGACCTTGGGCTAGAAATTTGCGGGGGACTTTTTTGGGGGGCCCACCGTATCGTTGCCATACGCTGCCTTCATTAACTGAACCGCTGTAAAGATTAAGGTTAAGGTTATATTAAGGTCGTAACCATGAGAACCGCTGTAAAGAGGCAGATAGGAAGATTGAGAGAGCAGATTGAGGAAGCAGATTGAGAGGCAAATTGAGAGAGCCATCCCAAAAATGGGGGGTCCCGAAAAGTAGGGTTTCGTAGAGTATGTTTGAAGTAACATTCTGATTTGCGCGATGAAAGATGCTTTCGACGCATCGCGTCGAACCGAAATTACTGTACGCAGCTTCGGAATGCTCGATTTTGCTTGGGCAGATAGGCTGCCAGCTTCGGAAATTTCCTCACTGGTTGTGCAGTTTGGTTTGCAGGTTAGGTGGCACATCCCAGCTTCGGGAACCTTGTGGGAGGCCACATACTGTGCCTTGGGGATCCCATTGGCTCTGTCTCGATCGAGTCTGCTGTGTTGGCTAAAAAAAATTGCAATATGGTGTTAGTAAAAAGTCTAGAATTTGGAAACATATAATCTGAAACAATATACATTGTCCATTTGAGCTCATTTTGTACGATGTTCCATACTTTTATGGGTGTAGTATATATCCATTGCATAAGAAAAATCTGGTCGAGAAGATCAACCAAGTGTGTGGGAAGATTTCCATTATTGTTTGTTGCAAATGCATAACAGTTCAATTTCCCTATACATATTTCTCAAGGCAATATATTTTGTTAGTATCTATGTACTATAGTGAAAGCAACAATGTTGGCAAAGTTTACTACATCAGGAGCAAGTCTGTCTAGCATGCAAGCAGGTCGGCCTCAAGGTCTGCGAAGGCACAAACAAGCGTCACGTGCGGCGTAGTTGTGCGAATGAGCTCAAACCACTTCCTCTAGCTAGGGAATGGGATTTAATACCTGAATGTGAGGAAAAATAGGGCTAAAATTAACGTCCAGATGATTAAACGGTGACATGTTGCGTACATGCCTATCCTTGCACGGTTTCATGCCAACAACCGCACAAACAAGCGTCACGTGCATACTAGTTGTGTGAATGAGCTCAAATCAGATCCAATGGCAAGGGAATATGATGTAATACCTGAATGTGAGGAGAAATGGGGCTGAAAAAAAACATCCAGACGATCAAACGGGGACATGTTGCCTATCCTTGCACGGTTTCATGCGATCAAGCGCACAAACATGCGTCACGTGCAGCGTAGTTGTGCGAATGTGCTCATATCAGTTCCAATGGCTAGGTAATAGGATGTACTACCTGAATGTGAGGAGAAATAGGGCTGAAACAAACATCCAGACGATCAAACGGTGACATGTTGCGTACATGCCTATCCTTGCACGGTTTCATGCGATGAAACGCACAAACAAGCGTCACGTGCAGCGTAGTTGTGCGAATGAGCTCATATCAATTCCAATGGCTAGGGAATAGGATTTACTACCTGATTGTGAGGAAAAATAAGGCTAAAAAAAACGTCCAGACGATCAAACGGTGACATGTTGCGTACATGCCTATCCTTGCATAGTTTCATGCCATCAAACGCACAAACAAGCGTCACGTGCTGCGTAGTTGGGCGAATGATCTCAAACCAGTTCCAATGGCTTAAGAAAATGATGTACTACTTCAATGTGAGGAGAAATAGGGCAAAAAATACATACAGATGATTAAACTGTGACATGTTGCGTACATGCCTATCCTTGCATAGTTTCATGCCATCAAACGCACAAACAAGCGTCACGTGCTGCGTAGTTGGGCGAATGATCTCAAACCAGTTCGTGTGGCTTGAGAAAATGATGTACTACCCCAATGTGAGGAGAAATAGGGCCAAAAATTACATACAGACGATTAAACTTTGACATGTTGCGTACATGCCTATCCTTGCATAGTTTCATGCCATCAAACGCACAAACAAAAGTCACGAGCTCCGTAGTTGGGCGAATGATCTCAAACCAGTTCCTATGGCTTGAGAAAATGATGTACTACCCCAATGTGAGGAGAAATAGGGCTAAAAAACGCATACAGACGATTAAACTTTGACATGTTGTGTACATGCCTATCCTTGCATAGTTTCATGCCATCAAACGCACAAACAAAAGTCACGTGCTGCGTAGTTGGGCGAATGATCTCAAACCAGTTCCTATGGCTAGCTTGAGAAAATGATGTACTACCCCAATGTGAGGAGAAATAGGGACTAAAAAATACATACAGACGATTAAACTGTGACATGTTGCGTACATGCCTATCCTTGCACAGTTTCAAGTCATCAAACGCACAAACAAGCATCACATGCTGCGTAGTTGGGCGAATGATCTCTAACCAGTTCCTATGGCTTGGGAATATGATACACTACCTGAATTTGAGGAGAAATAGGGCTAAAAAAAACATCCATACGATTAAACGGTGACATGTTGCGAACATACCTATCCTTGCACAGATTCATGCCATCAAACACACAAACAAGTGTCACGTGTAGAGTACTTGTGCGAATGAACTCATATCAGTTCCAATGGCTAGGAAATTGGATGTATTGCTTGAATGTGAGGAGAACTATGGCTAAAAAAAACATCTAGATGATAAAACGGTAACATGTTGCGTACATGCCTATCATTGCACGATGCTCAAATGCCAATTGTTTGGAACATCATATCTTCATATCAGATGGTGCGAATGCGGGTCAGAACAAATCACGTACTACCATTGAGTAGCTACGATCATATGTGATGCGGGCATTTGATTTTGATGTACTTAAGGATTCATCGAGGTGACAACATAGTTTACTCCTGCAAATCTGATCTCAATAGAGTAAGCTCCGTCACTTGTTTTAACTCCTGTTTCTTTGTACCAATAGCCTCTAATATATATACAGGTGAGGTTGACTGGGTTGGGTGAGGCAACTGATTTGGATAGGTAGACAAGTAATGCTTATGTATTGGAGTCTGTTTCATCGTGTTAGCAAGTGTATAAAGGTTTTGACAACCTCTGGAACAAACCTTAGAACTATGACACACATATTAGAACTTTATGACAACCTTAGAACTTTATGTTTTTATGTGTTGACATATTTATCAATGGCACACATATTATGATTTGAGATTTTTAAGGACAGGTTGAATTGTATG